CAGGATGACCTCAAACTTGCAATGTCCCCTGGCTGCTTCCAAAGCACTAGACCAGAAAGCATGTGCCACCACACTCAGTCTCAACTCTGCTCCTTCAAGGAATTATAAATCTTCTGTTTTCCAAGTAGTTATGTCTTTTTCTTTTTATTGTATGCATTCGTGTTTTTCCTACATGTATATATGTGCAAAAATGCTGGCTTCCCCTGCAATGAAGTTAGACACTTGTGCTGGGAGTTGAACCTGGATCCTCTCGAGCAACCAGTGCTCTTAACTGCTGAGCCATCTCTTCAGTCCCAGTAGTTGTTTCTTAAAGTTAGTTGCAATGGAAAACCTAAAAGCACCATCAACTAAGTTTTCAATATATTTCCTCAAAAATCTGTCTATTTTGTACTTTGATTATCCATGTATGGCTCTTTAACACCATATTGCATAGATTATCAGGAAAAAACAGTTCACCAAGTTATACTGATCTTCCAAATATGGAGACAGTTCAAGAAAATACCAGAAATTACATTCACTGATATCATTACTTATCTTACCAGACAAAAAAATATGGAGAAAAGCAAAACGTAAAAGGGCTGTATACAAAAACTTCTGAATATTCAGAAGTACCAAAGCTCATTATTTTGATTATGGGTTTTCACTTGGCTTATATCACTGATAAAAAAAACACCATCCAATTTTCTCTTGACAAGGACAAACTCACTGCGCTTACTTTCAGAAAATACCTGTGAAAGATTCACATCTGAATAATTATAATCGTCCAGGTTGCCTTTAAAGTGAAAGCAGCCCTTCACATAAATGAAAACAGCAAGTTGGACTTGCACCAGAGGCAGCACAAGCATCTTCCTTTGTCTCCAGCACAAGAGCTACACATGTGCTTCCCGTTTTGTCAGACTACTGGAGCAAAGATAACAGAACTACCTGTTACCTGCTTCACAGGAGCACTCTCGGGTGGGTTTTCAGCAGATGGTGGGGAAGGGCACACTGACTACAATGGCATGCGGTTCAGCTTTGAGTCACACTGAAACGAACATTTTCACATTTCACCACACAGTTAACAGTGAGAAGGATGAACAACAGCTCAGTGCTGTCAGGAAAACAGCTTGACGTCACAGATTAACTATTATAAAATAAGAAGGTTCCTCCTTCCGCATTCTGAAAATTATTACTAGATACAATCCAAACACTTAATCCCCTTCACAATTTCCCTACTAAACAACGAATTTGTATGAGTTCTTTAACCCAAGATAAACAGAGGATAAGCCCTTGAGAATAAGTACCTAAATAACAAGTAAAAGTGTTCTTCAAGTAGTGGAAGATAAGAAACTGTGTGTTTCAACAGAAAACCCAGACCATTAGATGGCCCTTGTTTTGCTTCTTTTATTTCTATACCAAGTGTCTATTAAAAAAAAAACTGGTACCAAACCTCAAACTAACAAACAGAAAGCCACTGTGACAGATAATAGCTACACTGTAAACACTTTCTCACCTGATATAGATGGTTGCTATAGAATTTCTTCAGATGTGTACTTTATAGTTTATTCCTACTTTATAGAAGCTGAAATAACCTTTTACCAAGAGTCAACTCCTAACCATAATACTGTGTTAGCTATAAAGTATACATATATTTTAATAGGTAATTTTATCTCTTCCGTTCACACTAAAAATATAATACCTCACATAATTTATTTTTTATTTATTTTCTGAGTGCTTTGCCTGCATTTATGTCTATATATCATGTATGTGCCTGTTACTAACAGAGACCAGATGAGGCCATCAGAGCCTCTAAGACTGGAGTTACAGAAGGCTATGAGCTGCCAAATGAGTTCTGGGAATGGAACCTAGGTCCTCTGGAAAAGCACCTGTGCTCTTAATTGATGAACCACCTTTCCAGCCCCTTACTTACAAAATTATATAAAGCCCAAAGTGTTTCTCACCCACAAAACACTAACAAAAGCAAAGAAACTACAATTTCCTCACTACAGGCATAAGTAGTACAGACCTATCTCAGATCTGTACAACCAAAGACACTAGAGAAACTTGGTGAAAAGCTCAAATGAGACATGGAGTTATCAGACTCCTGCCCACCATAAAAACCAGTACTTTTCTACTGTGACATCTTCATATCTCCCCAAGATGAGACCAAGAAGACACCTACCCTGAAAAATTAAAAACTACATTACCAGGCATGCCTGAATGCCTGTAGGACTAGGATGACTTACGAACTAGCATTAAGACAACAGTTCAAAACCAAAGTAAATGACTTTGTCACTTTTATTTCTATCTGCTATCCAAATTAAGCAAGAAATTGTCCATTCCTACATGAAAATATTCATCTTAATTCAATCATCCAGCAGTTAATATCTTCCAAGGCAATACTTAAACACTTTCCTTTCTATTACGTTTCTTAATACTTCCTTACTACTGAACAGTTCATTTCCTGAAGTCTCCAAGTTTTTATTATGATACTCACTTTAAAACAGCCAGCCCTATAGGAGACTAGGCAGCACCTCTGACAATGTAGTGTCTGTTTTTGGGGATTTGGTTTTATTTGTTTGTTTCCTTTTAAAATACTCCCTGTCTGAGGGGGTTCATGCCAGTAATCCTAGCACGTAATCATATCTACTTATTAGCAATGACCTGTTCTGCTGCTCTGTCTGAACATGGATTCCACTCTCAATTTCAGAAACAGCAGAAGGACAGGTAACAGAAAGCAGAGAAAGGAGAGCTCTTATAGTCAATTTATGGCCAAAGTCAAAAGAAAAAAGATAATGCAGAGGGAGGAAGGAGGAAGCCGAGAGGGTCACAGTGCAGAACACTTACTTTTAGGAACAGAGTGTCCCTTAGACTTCTGGTGAGTTGCCCAGAGCCTCTTCAGTTTCAATCCAAATGACAATGCTTCTCTGAGTCCTCAAGTAATGTTTCCACCACTAAAAATTGGATCTACAAGAGCTCAGATATACTGGTGAAAAGTGTCAGAGGCCCCCAGGTAGGCCTCTGAGCCAACTCCCCTGTGTACTACACTCTTCTTCCAGATGCCAGGTGTTCAGCCTGTTGCTTCTCTTCCGGGTGTCACCACCTACTCTAACCCCAAGACTGACTGTAGAGTAGGACGCCAGCTCCCCCCCCCTTCCTGCTGTCCCTGCAAATAAACAAACAGGCCCTTCTAATGCCAGCATTTTTCTAATAGTGACAAAGGAATATGGGGGACAAAAAAAAAAAGCAGCAATATAGTAGCAGAGATTAGGATTATAGTAACTGTCTCTACTTCAAAATGCCTGCCTCCCAAAAAAAGTCAAATGTTCTACATATTGCTTATTTATAAATACGTAGATATACAATTATATATGCTAAGCCATTCCCAGCCTTACAGACTTATAAAGATACATCCTGCTTTTCAAAACATTTAAAACAGGAGTTCAAAAATAGCAAATAGTTTCTCTTTTTAGAACCTTTCCTTTAACTTACAAGGTATTTTAAAACTTGCTTTTTAATGAACATGAAACGCTGAAAATGTTATCTAATGTAAATAAGAATTTACTGTAAAAGCCTATTGAGATTTACAAGACAGGTGTGTTAAAAAGCAACTAGGATTGTAGAAACAATAAAATCCTGACACGTCTCTACACTTAAATTTTTAATAAAATTCTATGAATTGCATTCAAAACCAAGATAAGTCATTTTTAGAAATAACTTGGACTACTTAGAATATGTCAAAATTATACAGGGACTCTTTTTCAAGCAACAAGAAACTTCCCAGTGTTCTTACTGTGCTAAAGTGTATTTTAATAGGCTTCATAGGCATCAAAATAAACACTTTATCTAAATATTGCTCCAAATCACAAAGATTCTAGGAAGTGAATTCAAAGGCTCCAAGTGCAGACAGATGGAGAATGTCACTAACTGAATTTCCTAGACTTAATCTTTGTGTTTATCTTTTAAAGACAATTATGACACACAACAAATTTAAGGCTCAAAACAGGCAAAGATCACGTTAACAAAAACAAAAAAAAAAGATCGTTCGTCTCAAGAGATTCAGATATTCGGAGTAAAAAACGTGTTCCTGAGTTCGCTTCTCAACTACTTCACTGCAAAATATTACAGAAATAGAACAAAAACAAGATGCAAAACCTTGGCCTGACCCTTCCGGATGTCCGTCACTAAGAAACTTTAACCTATTCCGATCCTACAACGAGACACTTTTCCCCCCCCGAGGGTCGAATGACACCGCGGCCTTTCCGCCACCCTCTGCCCCCACCCCATTGCACACTAACAACAATGCGGCCAACGTCTCCGTGCCAGGCTGGGGAGGGGGCACCGCACCGGCCGCGCACAAGAATCGCAGCCGCCAGCGACCCCCTAGCACCATTCATCCTCCGCAGCGGTCGTTGCGAGCGCTACCGCCGCCGACCCCTTCGCCGCCGCGAGCCACGGCGGAGCTGGGTCGCGCCCCACCGCGGCCGCCGCCTGGCTGGCCGCCCCGCCGTCCCCGCGTCACGCGGGGGTGAGGGCGCTGGGAGTGGGGTGGGGGAGGACGCCGGCCGCGGGCGCGCGGGACTCACCGGGTGGAGGTGCCCTTCCGCACATCGCACATCATGCACTTGAAGGCCTCGGCGCTGTTCCGGAAGGTGCAGACGCTGCAGTCCCAGTAGCCCTCATCCGAGGAGGGCTTCGGCTGCCGCTTCGGCCTGCAGGACACAACCGGACACGACGCCGCAGCGCGGGGTCAGCCGCAGGCCGCGCCCGGCCCCCGTGCCCCGCCCCGCCCGGCCCGCGACCCCCGCCCCGCCCCCCCCTCCCCCGGCGCCGCGCAGGGGAGGGGGGGGGAGCGCGGCCGCTGACCCCGGCCGCCATCGAGGCCCATTGTGGGCAGCAGCCGCGCGCCGCGCCGCGCCCCCCCCACCTCCCACCCCGTGCCGCGCCACCGGCCTCGCGGACCGCGGCCGCCCCGCCGGCGGGCCGCCGTACCCTACCTGGTCGGGCTCTTCTTGTCGCCCATGCTCGCTGTCGACGCGCGCCTCGGAGCCGCGGCCGGTCTGTCAGCCGCCCGGGGGAGAGGGGTCGGCGGAAGCGCCGAAGCGAGGGGGCGGGGAAGGCCGCGCCGCGAGCTGCAGCCGCCGCCGCCGCCGCCGCCGCCGGATCCCACGCAGCCTCCAGCTGTCGGGGAAACTCCTGCCCGCGCGCACGTGACCCGCGCCGCCCAACCAGCGGCCGCGCCGGAGACTTCAAACGCGGGGAGCGCGGCCCAGCACCCGGGACGAGTTCGAGGGCGCCGCCTCCCCGCCTCCCGCCCGGAGCTTCCCAGGCCCCGGAATCCCGGAGGGACGCGCGCTGGCAGGCGCTGGCAGAGGCCGGTGCGCTCGGGCACGCGGCTCCCCTCGCCCCCGCGCGCCGCGGGGACTGTCACCCTTCGTTTGGAGAAGCCAGACGGAAGCTCAAGGAAAGGTTCGGTGCCCTGCTCTTAGCTTACATAATTCAAACATGACGAAACCACAGGGTCTGATCCCGTTTTCATTCCAGAAGCGTTCTCTCTGCCTCACGGGGCTCTGCAGTGGCTTGTTATAAAACGGATGCTTCCCATGACAAACGAGCTTGCTGGTGCCCTGAACACCCACGCCCCCATACACACACACACACACACACACACACACACACACACACCGATCTCTTTATTTGAGCCTACTGGAGACATGCATCTCGTGCTAGATGGTCCTTTAAGTTCTGGTTCCACCTCGCCGATCGAGCCGGTAGCCCACCGCCGGAGTTATCATGCCTTCGCTCTAATCAAGAGACGACCTTAGCGTGGCAGTCGGTTACTCGCCAGCAGGAAAGCTGCACCCTGAAGAGAGAATAATGAATGTCATCCCTTCACAGAGCCCTGCCTTCTTTACTTCGGTGGAGGCATAGAAGCTTAGCGTCAGGCTTAAGTGAAGAGGACCCGAGTTCAGGCACTGCGTGCTTAACTGTCGGAAAAGAAGAGGCTGTGTGACTCGCTGTTGGGATGTACTGTAGGATGTTTAAGAAATCCCTACCCAAATGGAACAGAGCGGGATAAAGCAAATTCCCATCATAATACTCAGAGTGGGATGGCAACTAAAACCTTTTCATTGTTTTAATTATTTACAAAAGCCTTAATATCTTGCATTATGTTATCTGAGAGTAATTGAAATAGGAAAGAAAAAACCCAGCTAAGGGGAGACTTCTGCATTGATGTAATACTTTCTAAGCAACAGGAACTAATAAGTTAATAACCGAAATGAGAAACGCCATCTTTTTTATCATTGGGAATTAGAGATTAATTGGGGTAATTAAGAGGGAAATAGGCTGCAGGCCTCCAAGAGAAGGAACTCAAAATGAGGTGTAGCAGAACGGGCCGGGCCTCTAGCTCGGTGATGGAGCACTTGCTTACCATGCAAAAGTCTCTGAGTTACTGAAGATTTGAAAAAACATTTAAAAGGTTGATTTAAGTGGGGTTTTGCTTGGTCGGTTAACATCACTTTATTTTTGCAAACCAGAGATGAGTCTAAAAGTTATGTATGAGCTGTTGCATTAATTTTCCAAGGTTAGTGTTAGAGGCTGGGTGTTTTCTGGAATGGGAATGTGTTTTCCCATGATACCGGAGGCTCCAAGTAAGAGACAGGGTTTTCAGCAGGACTGGTTCTTCCCAGGCCTGTGCTCTTGGCTTGCAGATAGCTATCTGTTTTGATCCCACCTTCACAGAGTCAAGTATGCCTGTATCCTGATCTTTGTATATCTGTGCCTATGTCCAACTCTCTTCTTATAAAGGTGGCATTCATGGGAGTAAAGCCTACAGCAGTGGTTCTGAACCTTGGGTCCGACCCCTCTTTCCCGTCTGTGGAATGTGCATTGTTTATTGTGCGCCCCGTGCATATGGAAGCCAGCGGTCAGCATCAGTTGTCTTCCTCAGTCACTGTCCGTATTCCACTTCAGATAAGTCTCCCACTGAACCTGGAGCTCTCTAATTCAGCTAGACTGGTGCCTGCCCCAACCCAACCACTGCGCAGCCGGGACTGTCACCCTTCATTTGGGGAAGCAAGAGGGAAACTCAAGGAAAGGTTCAGTGCCCTGAACCCCAGAGATCCTTTGTCCCTGTCTCTCTGGTGCTGGGGTAACAGGCTCGCACCACTGCATCCTGGGAAATTGAACTCAGTTCTTTATGCTTTCAACGCTAGAACTTTCCCAGTTGAGCCATGCCCCTCAACCCCTCCCCGCTTTTCTCTTGATTCCTCTATCCTGGCCATAGATAGGAAGGATGGCACCACGTTTTCACCTCTGGTTTAAAACGTGCACTGCATCTTGCAAGATAACAGGTATCATCAGGCATGGTGATTCACACGGATAATTCCATCACTCAGGAGCTGCAGCAGGAGCATTACTACTATGAGTTGAGTCCAGCCTGGGCTATAGAACAAGCCCTTATCTGAATTAACAAACCAACTGTAAGCATCACACTCTTCCAAGGTATTGTCTGAGGCAGCCAAGTCTTCATAAGCATTGTACTTTTTTCTGTTAGGTCAGGTGCTTCCTAGAGATGAGGTACACTGTTGATTAGTGACTTCCATGGTTTTGAGCAGATTGCTGCTTTCCTTATGACATAAGATAGCTCAGTTTATTCCTCTGCAGCACTGTTGTTCAGAGTACAATGGCAAGGAGTCCATGGAGAGTGATACCAGCAGTAGTGTTCTATACCGCAGTGTAGGCAAAGGCATTTCTAGAATATGTGCCTATTTCACTACAAAGATCTTTCTTCCGTGCCAGGAGGAAGTGGTCAGTATGATCAAACTGTTGAGGCAGCTGGCTTGTTCATCCAAGGAAACGTGCCACACCCGGTGCTGGTTTGTGCTGGTGTCTAGTTAGAGGTTCAGCAGTAGTGATGCATTTCGCAAATCTACACGGTTAGCCTTGGGAGAGAGTCACGGTACTGAGCCCACACAAAGGCACTGTCTCAGACAATATGGCCACTTTGCACATAAGCCCACCACGAAAGCACTCGGGTGACTGGAGAAAGTGGATGGCGTTCACTTCATTCTCTTCCACAAGCTTCCCTTCACATGACGCTCTATGTGCAATAGCTTGATGGCTCACTCTGCTGCCCATTCTGAAAGATCCGTCCAGTACTGGACTCCACTCTTTGCGTCAGTTTTCCAATCTACCCTGAGTTCCTGATCACTAAGCTTACCCATGAGTCAGCATGTATCCACTCCAACCTTGTAAACTTTCTTCTCAGCAGAATTTCTATCTACTGCCACCCTCAGGACCACCTCACTGTAGGGTGCCAGCCATCCTGTCATACAGAACCACTTGTAAACCAGGCCCAGAACTTTTTTTTGGGGGGGGGGGGGCTTTTTGTTTTGTTTTTGAGACAAGTTTTCTCTGTAGCTTTGGTGCCTGTCCTGGAACTAGCTATTGTAGACCAGGCTGACCTCGAACTCACAGAGATCCACCTGCCTCTGCCTCCCGAGTGCTGGGATTAAAGGCATGCGCCACCACCACCCGGCTTCTTCAAGTCTTTTAAGTTGCTTACAAATGCCCTGGGAATACGATTTTTATACGTGTCCTTGATGAATGTCCATGATTGCAAAAGAGAAGCTGGTAACACTGGAGAGAGTTGCTTAGTGTATGTGCTTTTCTAAAAATGCAGTTAAGTTACTTGTTCACAGGGAGCTTTAGGTTCGGTGTCACCAAAAAGCAAACAGGGTCTCAAAATGAGAAGTTCTTGGTTCTCATCAGTTATAGCGCACTTGTATTTTGGTGTGCTCCTGCAAATCCACATTGAAGGTATTAAAGGAGTACAGGGAAGCAGCCCCATATGTACCCCACAGCCCAGAACCTTAGTGATGTTGAATTTACAAACAGCATTTAATAAACTCATAGTAAAGATTTCACCCCAGTTACTTATTAAATTAGTTTATAAGCTTTCAATGTGAAATACATTGTAGCTACATTTAGAACCCTTGGTAATGTCAAATATATTTTAAAAATCCTTCTATGAATATATTTGACCCAAAAATTTCTACTATGACATCTGAAAAGTTAGGAGTACCTAAAAATCTCTTTGTCAAAAAAAAAAAAAAAAACAGCATGCACTATTAAATTCCTCAGTGGAGAAATATTTTTTCCTCAGACTTAATCATGGAGAATAATATTTTAGGGGGATTTTTAATCTTTTCTTCTGAAAATTTCCTAAGAAAATGATTGATGGCCAAGTGGGATGGCATACGATCTTAAACCCAGTACTCAAGAGGCAGAGGCAGGTGGATCTCTGTGAGTTTGAGGCCAGCCCAGTCAACATCATGAACTCCAGGATAGCCAGGACTACATAGCCCTGTCTCAAAAAGAAAAAAGGAAACGATGGGACAGTGTGTGTTTGTGAGTAGAATAATACATCTGCCCTCAGAGAAGAAGAGGAATTGTGTGAGGGAAGGGAGGGGTTAACAAGAGGAGGTGGAAAACTGGGAAAGGATGTCGAGAAGAGAGTGATTAAGACCAAAGGAAAATGACAGATATGTATAAATATGGCAAAAATATTGTGTGCCTGCTTCAGTAGCACAAACACTAAAATTCAGACAACAAATAGATTAATATGGTCCCTGTACAAGGATGTACACAAATCCATGAAGGAGTCCATATCTTAATGTGACCATAAAATGTACATGCAAGAAATATAATGAAATTCATTGTTACGATAATTGATATATGCTAATAAAAACATTAAAATTTTCCTAAATAACACAATTCATTAATATATTCTAGAAGCAAACACATCATATAAACATATACAATAATTTTTTTTTTTTTTTTTTTTTTGGTTTTTCGAGAAAGGGTTTCTCTGTGGCTTTGGAGCCTGTCCTGGAACTAGCTCTTGTAGACCAGGCTGGTCTCGAACTCACAGAGATCCACCTGCCTCTGCCTCCCAAGTGCTGGGATTAAAGGCGTGCGCCACCACCGCCCGGCTACAATAATGTTTTATACGGTATGATAATATTTTAAATATTATGTGACATTTCTTAGTTTTCTTATATTTGATTTTGTTTGTTTATTCTCACAGTCAACAGTTCCTTGTCCAACACTGGGTGACCTGAACTGAGCTCTTTGCTAAGGAGACCCTTGTCTGGATCCTCAGCATCCTGAATTTGGAGAGGCCCCAGGTCAGGTCCTGCAAGGCGCATGTGCTGTCCTCTGGTGCTGGAGGTTTTAGTAGGTGGTGTCAGCTGGCTCAGGTCTAAGTGGGCTCTGTGTGTGCACTTTCCTTCTTGGGATTTTCTCCCATTCCCTTTTCCTTACTCCCTGATTTCACAGAAGGGTGCTTAAGAGAACTTCAGTGCCCAGATCATCCTCCCTCGAGCAGGAGTGGGACACTCTAGAGCAGAAGCCCTGTGTTGAGGTTGCACTGAGGTTTCTGAGACCAGATAGCTCTGTAGCTCAGGCTGTCCTCAAATGTGTTAATGCCAACACTCAGGAAGCGAAAGCAGGATGATCCACTTGGTAGCCCTTCTGAGTTACTGGTAGAGGTGAGAACTCTCTAGTGGCTGGCTGTTCTGCCTCTCTTATCTCTCAGCTTTCACCACTAATACCTGACTCTCACCTCTATCAGTGCTCAGACTGAAAGGGTGATCCTGTCCTCAGACTGCATCCTCAGACTGTCTCCTCCTGCCATAGCATTTCCTGTCTCCACCTCCCTAGTGCTGGGATAAAAGGGGTGGGATCCCAAGTGCTGGGCTCACCTTTTCAAGAGTCTGTTTCTCTTTTAGACAGATTCATTCTTACGTAGTTAAGGGTGGCCTTGAAATAACAGAGATTCTTCTGCCTCTGTCCCCCAAGTCCTGGGATTAAATTGGGTTAGCTCTACACTGTAATGGCTTTAGCTCTGCGTTCTGATTTTCAGGGAAGCTTTATTTATTTATTTATTTTTTTTGGTGTGTGTGTGTGTGTGTGAGGGGGAGTTGTGGGTTTTTTTTGTTTTTTGTTTTGTTTTGTTTTGTTTTGTTTTGTGTTTCAAGACAGGTTTTCTCTGTAGCTTTGGAGTCTGTCCTAGAACTAGTTCTTGTAGACCAGGCCAGACCCCAAAGAGATCCGCCTGCCTCTGCCTCCCGACTGCTGGGATTAAAGGCATGCGCCACCACCTCCCGGTGGAAGCTTTATTTGTTAAGACAAACATAATATCACTACAACTCGGAGTCAGCTATCAGGAGGTGAAAGCTGAAGGATCAGAGAAGCGGAGTGGGCAGCCATTAGAGAGTTCTTACCTCTACCAATTCTCAGACCAAGGGGCGGTCCTGTCCCTAGGAATCCTCAGACTGCATCTGAGCTCCTGTCTCTTCCTGCCTTATATTGCTCTCTCTACCCAGCCACATCACTACTGTCTCCACCTGCCTAGTGCTGGGATTAAAGGCGTGTGATCCCAAGTACTGGGATCATCTTTGTGTGAGCTCTGTTTCTCTCTTAGACAGATTCAATCTCTTTTAGCCCATGGTGGCCTTGAACTCACAGAGATCCATCTGCCTCTGTCTTCTGAGTGCTAGGATTAAAAGTATGTGCCACCTCCACCTCTGTAACTTACTAGTGATTTAGCTCTGCACTCTGATCTTCAGGCAGGCTTTGTTAGATCACAAACAAGATATCACTACAGTGGATGGCACTGAATCTATTCTCAAGTTAGAGAGACCAGGGATCTTACTGGAACTGTTAGGTAGCCCACCTCTCCTCAGCCCAATGATTGCTCCTGTGGGTAGCATGGCTGTTTAACAGGACACCTCACTAAGGGTCACTAATGCCCTGCCAGGCAACTAGAAGTCCATTGGAGGGTTTTTGTTGTTGTTGTTTTACATGGTTTTTAAAACACTAATTTATTGTGTTACAGGGCACCTGTGGAGGCTGGATGACGGCTCATATGGGTGGGTCCTCTCCTCCTTATGTACTGTGTGGACCCTCGGGGTCAAACTCAGGTTATCATGCTTGCCAACTCTACTTTCCCTGTGGAGCCATCTATCCAGAACCCTCTAAGTTTATGAAGCTGGGTCTCATTTCGTAGCCCAGTGATGTCTCAAATTTGTAATCCTCCAGCCTCAGGCTTCTGAATACAGGTTTTTTTTTTTTTTGGAGGTTCATGCCACTAACCACAGCTTGTATCTTAGTTTCTATTTGAATCAAGGGCATGGCTCAAATATCACTGCTGAGGACAGCTGCTTAAACTATAGGTCCCAACAAATCCTGTAATTGTAATGATTTGGGGGGAAAGTTAAATTGTAATCTTTATAAATGTGTGTTTTGTTTTTTAATGTTTTAAAATAAGGCCTCACAACTTGGGGAGGCCTATTCTTCTTTTTTTTTTTATTTTTTAATGTGTAGCCCAGGCTGGCCTCGAACTTGTGATCCTCTTGTCTCTGCCTCCTTCAGCAAATCCTACCTGTGTGTGCCACAGTTGCCTCCAAGGTTGAAATATTTCGTCCTACAGGAAGTTCCCTAGGCAGGAAAGAGTTTTAGGAAGTCCCTGAAACTGACTGGATTCCCCTGTCTCAGTAAGCAGAAGCTAAGATTCCCCCACAAATGGAAAGGTGATTTGAGCTGCAAAGAAGATAGTCAGATGACCCAAACTGCCAAGGAGACTCAGAAAGCTAAGCTGCAAAGAAAACTCACACCAGAGCACCTGCATAGAAGCAACAGGAACCTGCTGAGCTGCAGGGAAGAGGTTGGACAACTGAGACACCTGGAAGGGCGTTCTCCAACATGCGGAACTGCCTGCAGACTGTGCAGTGTGCTCTGTGTTCCCAGGTTTGTGAGCTGCTTCCCATGCTGGGGTGGGCATTGATGATGCACTTGTCTTTGAGTTATTTCTGCTCCTGTAAGTAACCCCTCACCCATATCCCTCTAAGGAACTCTAATAAAATGCTTTAGTTTTCTACATTGGACTTGGGTGGTCTGCACTTTTGTCTGACGTGAGTTCCCTATCTGAGGTAAATAGACATGTGTCCTGCATCTCTCCAGGCAAAGTTTCATCGCACAACATAATGTCGTATAAATAAAATCAAAGAGACTATAGTCCTTTGAATCTGGAACCTTTCACATAGAATAATGTATCTGTATATGTGTGTTCATTCTTGTGTATACGTATGTTTATATGTGTTGGTGGGCCTATATGCCTGTGTGGAGGCATAGGATGAGGGTAATATTAGTTTTCTTTCCTCAGGAGCTATTTTCTTTTCTGTCTGTCTGTCTGTCTGTCTGTCTGTCTGTCTATCTTTCAAACTGTCTATTGTAGGCAGATTTTTTTCTGTCCCACCAATCAGCTCCCAGATCATGACGTGGAGACTTATTATTAATTATGAAAACTCAACCAATAGCTTAGGCTTGACCCACTAGCTAAATAACTTAAATTGACCCACTTCTATTCGTCTATGTGTCGTCATGTGATGTGTGGCATTTGCTTTTCCTCCTGCTTGTCTTACTATCTGTCTGGTTTCTCCCTTCCTCGCATTCTCTCTGCCCTAAAAATCCTGCCTAGCTATTGGCCATTTAGCTTTTTATTAAACCAGTCACAGTGACATACCTTCACACAGTGTAAAGTAATATTCCAGAACAATCTCTTTATCATCTACGTGTCTGTCTTTTTGTTTGTTGTTGTTGTTGATCCAGGGTTCTTCATTAGTCAGGAAATGGCCAAACAGAATAGGTGGAGGGGCAGGACAGCCCAGGACCCCGCCTGCCCCTGCCTCTGTGGAGCTGGAATTTCAAGCATGTGCTAGCACACTCAGCTTTACATGTGAGTTCTGGACATTGAACTTGCATTTGTGCAGCAAGCACTTTACCCATTAGTCATGTCCTCGGCTCCCTCTTTTAAGATTTTAAAGTTTATATTTAAAGTGCAATTGATTTAAGCAAACGTCCATGTAAAGTTTAGAATGCTGAGGAAGGTATATGTTCTCATTGGATCCAGTCACTGCAGAACTATTAATTCAAAGTACTACCCCTTTCTGTTGAATTGCCCTTGCACAATTGCTCAGAATCAACTGACCATGTTTTGAGGGGTTTATTGCACAACTCTGTTACATTCTATTGGTCAGCTTGTCTGTTCCTTTCATCAAGCCCATGCGGTCTTTTTTGAGACAGGGTTTCTCTGTAGCTTTGTTGCCTGTCCTGGAACTAGCTCTTGTAGACCAGGCTGGCCTCGAACTCACAGAGATCTGCCCGCCTCTGCCTCCCGAGTGCTGGGATTAAAGGCGTGCGCCACCACCGCCCGGCAAGCCCATGCTGTCTTAAGCATTATAAATTAATAGTTAAATCTTTCAATCTAATCGAATAGACATTGGCAATGATGTGTTGTATTATTTGTTTGTAAGTAGCTTTAGAAAATGGATCGATTTCTGCTGTTAATCTTTTATTTGAGAGGTTAGGACTTTCATTGAAAGGTGTAGGACTTTTGGGTTTTTTCTTGATGATGTCACTCTGTACAGCCCAGACAGACTTCAAATGTAGGATCATCTTGCCTCACCCTCCCCTGTGCTGGGGTTACAGGTTACACTGCACCCTCCGTGCTATTAAGTTTTAATTGTATTTATTAGTTATTTCATTGTTATTTATATTAAAATGGTGATACTTTCCCTTGACTCTGGTACAGTATGTTAGATCTTTACATGAGCAGTCTTCCCCCCCCCCCCCTTGCTGAGGGAATTGAACCCAGGACTTTTGCATGTCCATGCACTCTACTTCTGGGCCACATCCCCAAGCGTTCATGGACTGGTTTAGGTATGCTTATTTATTGTGAAATATGAGTAACTAAAAGTTACAGTTTTAGCTAATTTTTGATGTCCAGCTCAGCAGCGTGAAATATATTCCCATTGTTAGATATATAAGCACCACCAACCTTTCCACATGCTTTCAGCTTTCAAAGGTGACATGGTAAACAATGATAAACACCCTTGTCCCAGCCTCTGGCAACCAGTTTCACTTCTGTCTTTTGGAATCTGACCACCGCGTGCATACAGCCGCAGTGGCCTTCAAGCCTGACTTGTTTCATTTCTGTCTCTGAGGTTGAAAATGTGTGAGAATTTCTTCCCCTTTCATGTTGAGTCGTGTCCCACTGTATTTTAACAAACATCTTTCCTCATGCCTGTGAAAAGACACGACAAAAGCACCAGCAGGGAGGAATGGCTTGTTTTCTCACAGTTTGAGGGGACAGCCCATCATGGCCAGAAAGAGATACCTGCAGGAACATGTAGGAGCTGGTCATTGTGCACCCACGGTTGGAAAGCAGAGGGGGATGACCTCAGCTTAAGGAAAGGTGCTGCTTGCATTCAGGGTAGGTCTTCCTTGCCATGTTAAACCTTCTGGAAACACTGACACTCAGGTGATTTTTTTTTAAGGTGACTGTAAATCTAGCAGAGTAGATAATGAAGATGAGTCATCACAGGCATCTATACTACTTTTTCACCCGTTCATCTTGGTGGTGCTTAGGTTGTGTCCCCATTTCAGGTGTTTTGAAAGGGGATGATGTGAACATGAGTATTTAAATAACCTTAAGTCATTGGTTTCAGTCCTTTTGAGTGTGTCACTGGAGTGGAATTTATTGGATTATATCTTAATTCTACATTTAGTTTTTAAAGAACTGACATACCAATGGACTATAGACTTCAAGGAATTATGTGGTTATTTAACATTGATTTTTACATTAATGATAGACTTACAGAGATGATATAGAAAATGTAGATAGATTTTTTTATTTTAATGGGCAATATTATAGGTTGTGGGAAGGGCCAGGAGGGGCAGCTGAGGAAAGCATTCTGACGTTTCCATGAATGTTACTAGTATTAAAGATCCAGTATGTTCTTAGGGTCATTATTTGCTTTATACAATAGTTTTTCATTGAATTTATGCACATATGCTCTTATGTCTGTGTCTGTGTGCGTGCATGTGGGTGCCTGCAGAGGCCAGAAAAAGGCACAGGATCCCTTGGATCTGGGTCACAGGAATCTGTAAAGCCACCTTCCAGGTTAGGACCAAAACCAGGCCTTCATGATTGAGCATAAGTGCTCGTCACCTTGAGGCCACTCTCCAGTCACTTGCTTTTTGCTTTGGAAATTCTAATGTTAGAGGTATACTCAGCTTCTAAAATTTTGAATGTTTATTTTATTACTGCCTTTGTTACTTTTCTTTTGCTGTGAAGACACCATGATCAAGACAGCTTATAGAAGGAAGAGTTTGCTGGGGAATACAGTTTCAGATGCTTAGTCCATGACCGTCAGGACAACTCGCCAGCAGACACGGCAGTGAGCAGTAGCTAAGAGCTTCCATCTGACCCAGACGCACAGGGCAGAGGCAACTAGGAATTGTGAGACCTCAACGCCCAGCCCCAGTCACACACCTTCTCCAACAAAGACTTGTTTCTTAATCTCTTCCTACCAGTGCCACCAATGGAGGACCATGTATTTATGTGAGCCTACTGGGGCCATTCTCATTTAAACCACAATTACGATTCAAGAAGAGCTTACTCAAAAATACTTCGTTCTGGAAATAGTTTTCTACAAGGTTTTTTTTTTTTTTAAATGAGCCTGTAGCATGAATTATAATTATTTCTTTTTTTTT